GAGAGAGCACTTAGAAGAGCCAACAGAACTACGTGTGAATCTGATACGGATTCAGCAGCTCGTAGATCGGAACAGACATGATTGGGTCGAGTAACAGAACAAGCATACTCAATCATACAACAAATTTTCAGAGGATTTTTTTTTTTTGTTCGAATTTCAGATGGTTAATGATAATATCATATTGGTGGGGTGAGATTTTAGAGCGATTCTGATCTCACCGTTTTTAAGGTGTTTAAGTTTTTTTTTTGTTTGGCAAGGTTTTTCAAAAGGGTTCAAAGGGTCAATTTTAGAGGATTGATGTCAAAGAGAGCTTCAGACGTGGTTTCCGATCTGAAGGAGGAACTTCAAATTGGGGTCCAGAGATTACGGAGACAGCGAGTTTTAGAGGCTGTTTTTCAAAAGCGAGTTCAAGTCAAGGTTTTTACCTATTAAAAGAGAAAAGTATTAAGAGAGAGAAACTTGAGAGAGGCAAAGCCTTTCAAAACAAATGGGGATTCAAGATGGCAAGCACACAACACCAATGACACGAGGGAATAACATGAAAAGTTTGAAGCATGCAATTTATACAGGGGACTTGTGTAATGAGAATAAGAGAGAACAACATATTTTCTGTATTCTCCTCCGGATCGGATAACCCAAGTCGACGGTAAGATGTTGCAAGTCTCTCCTTGTTAGAAAGAGGAGCCATTGATCTAGATCAGAACTACTAAATTCCATAGGTTCCTTCACTTGAAACCCTAGTAATGCCCATCATAGCTGAACTGATAATCCATAGTTTTGGAAAGACCTGATACCTAGCAGTAAGTAGTGGCAGAGCCGTAACATGAATGAGTAAAAGGGGGAGATAAATTTTCTTGAGGCCATGTAGCTGAAGCCTTGGAATGCTATCCAAGAAGAACTCAATACTTTGAGAGAACCTGTTGGGTTTGGTGATAGCCAAATCACAACACCTATATTTTCTTCTAATAATTAAGGGTATTATGGAAAATACAAAATTGACTTTTTTGGGAAGCAAAAAAGTGATATCTTTATAAGATAGTGAAGGAGGACATAATATCCATCCTTTTAGAGTCGTCCCTTTGAGGGTTAAGGAAATGGATCTCCAATATAGAGATGGGTCTCTAAGAGAGAGACATAGTTTCTGAGAGAGGAGTGGTATTCCCATGAATTTTGAGTCGGTTAACTTCTATTTTAGAGAGAGAAAATCTCTATGTTACTCTCGAGATTATCTTTTCAAGTGCTGTATTGCGGTGGGAAAGAGAATGTTGATCGATGGTGTTGCTCGGTCAAGAGAGCAGGTTTAGAAGGGAAGATCGGTGATGGTCTTTTACCGATATTTAGATATAGGAATTATCTCTTGTAACAAAAAACTGTAATCTTCATTGTGATAGTAGATTTCTAGTTGCCGAGGCCGTAGATGTAGCCCTATGAGGTGAAGTACGTAAATCGTGTGTTATTGTGGTGTGTTTTTTTATGTTTGCTTTATTTCTCGCACTCGATTTATAGTTGTATTCATCTATTTCGTATTTAGGCAATTGAGTACACGATCTTTGGCGGGATCCCGGTACTTGGGATTCTCGATTCCGTAAGCTATGAGGTTCATGAGAATCCTACAATTTTCCAAGAGAACCCCTACAATTGGTATCAGAGCATAAGGTGTGTATGGGGTTAAGATTGCATTAAGAAAATGATGAATGGTGGAGTCTGATAGATACATTGTTTGAGGTGGAGAAATATGAAGGCAAATTATTTGTGAAAATTCCACAATGGAAACACGTGAGAAAAAATCAAGAAATATCCATGGTTTGAGGTGGAGAAATATGAAGGCAAAGTGTTTGTGAAAAATTCTACAATGGAGGCAAATGAAAATAAATCAAGAAATCTATTCAATGAAGGTTGTTAAGGCAATTGTGGTGATTTTGCTACCAAGGTGGAGATTGTTGGGTTTGGTGATAGTCAAATCACTACAACCCATACTTTCTTTTAAAAATTAAGGATATTATTAGAAATAGAAAATTGACTTTCTTGGGGAGCAAGAAAGTGATATCTTTATAAGCTAGTGAAGGAGGACATAATACCCTTCTTTTGAAGGGTCACCCCTTTGGAGGTTAAGGGAATGGATCTCCAATATAGAGATGGGTTTCTAAGATAGAGAGACGTGGCCTCTGAGACACGGGCGATATTCCCATGAGTTTTGGTTTGGTTAACTTCCACTTCTAGAGAGAGAAAATCTCTATGTTGCTTTCGAAGTTATATTTTCAGGTGCGATATTGCGGTGAGAAAGAGGATGTTGATCGACGGTGTTGCTCGATCGGGAGAACAGGTTTAGTAGGGAAGATCGATGATAGAATTTTATCGATGTTTAGAGATAGGTATTATCTCTTGTAACAAAAAACTGTAATTTTCATTGTAATAGTGGATTTCTAGTTGTCGAGGCCATGGATGTAACCCTACGGGGTGAAGCACGTAAATCGTGTGTTGTTGTGGTGTGCTTTTTATGTTTGCTTTATTTCTTGCATTCGATTTATAGTTGTATTTATTTACTTTGTATTTCATCAATTATGTACACAATCTTGGGTGGGATCTCGATGTTTGGGATTCCCAGTTTCGCAAGCTAAGGGGTTCACGAGGACCCTACAAAATCCATTACTTGGAGAGAAACAACGAGACTATCTAAGGCAATAAGGGGGTTGAAAGTGTTCAGGGTGACAAGGACTGGGCTTTGAGGAAGCAAGTTGGTCAGGCTTGAGACCAGACCATGCAATGGTCACTTACTCACCAGACGAGAGGAAGTGCTCACAAGACCACGCTGATTTGGTGAGCTTATGAGTTGTGGATTTCAAACCGGTGATTTCAGATCTGAACCATAATGAAGCAGTGATTGAGGTGATCTCAGATTCGTGGAAAACAAAGAAGATCTGAGGCAAACAAATCCGATCAGTGTCCGCTATAATGGTAGAGATGGCAAAAACATAGAGATGATGAAAGCTTGTAGGTGCACAGTTGGAAAATACAAGATATTGTACCTACCCTTCACATATATGCTGGTTACAATATATGCCTTTCCAAATATACAGATCAGTATATACACATTCTATATAAATTTGATAGGCAATATATACTTTCTTTTCACAAGA